GGAGGCGTGGGCTTCTCCACGGGAAGAACGAGCTTTATTTCCCACTGAACTGGTGAAGCTGTTTGAGCTAAATCAGAAAGCTAGTATCATTGTAACCGTGTTTGAAGTGCTGAAATCACCCTGCTGCTGAGAGAACGTTTGTATCCTCACACTGAAATTAGGAGAGATGAAAAAAGACTAATCGGATTTACGGCACTGCTAATTGCTGCTGCGAGAAAGCCAAGCCTTTTTACTGTCCATCTTTCTATATCGCACCACTTCTCTGAAGAAACCCCGGCGTACCTGACAGGCTTCCATGGGTTTGCACGTTTCCGATGAATCACTTCACTGGTCGTTGAAATGCAGCCATCTCTAGGGTGGAACCGAGCAGCTTTAGCATCTGTTTAACATCTACTCTCAAATAAGAGGAGAGGTTCTGTCACTGTAAATACATTTAGACTGCTTTTCTTGTCTAATATATATCCATAGCCAGATGCTGGTCTGTGCTTACTCTGATCTTAAAACCCATTTCCAGCAGATGCACAGCAGGCAAGTGAGAAGTCCTGTTGCACTGTGCATGATCACCTGTCCATCCCTATTTTCTTTTCGGTAGGCTTCTCAGCACTGATGTCTTTTTACCCTTAATTTTACCAGGCATGAGCTGTGGCCCCTTCATGCCATTTATTTTGTGGTATATTGCAATAGCTTTTGTGTAAATGAAACCGTGATGTGGAGAATCTGCCTGACGTTTGCTGTGAAGTTGTCTCTTTCTGCTTCATCTTTTCCATCCAATCCCTTGTAATATCTGCAAGGAGAATTTCAACAAAGCCCAAGGTTAATATTTACCAGCCAGATTTGCTGCAAATGAGACAACTTCAACCAGACGTTGAATTAATACGATGGAGACCAGTTTCCAAAAATATCTGTCAGCCACTCTTCTTTGACAGAAACGTAAATTTGTGCTGTAGCTAAGTTTCCTTCTCAATTTATTTCCCTCAACTTCTGACAGCAGCGGCGGGAGCCGTCTCTGCACTGCCGTTGTGACGGGGAAGTGCCCCTGCGCCCTGCTCTCCTTCACCGCCATCGCCCGCGCAGGGCGGCCTGGCGCCGCGCTCGTTGATGATGGTCTAATTAGCGGGCTGTATCCCTTGCCTATGCAGGGATGACACTACTGAAACCAGTTTTAGAGAGGAAATAGTTTCTAGTGCTTTGTTAGGATTTTTAAATGACGTTTTCAAGTGAATTTGGTGTGGGTGGCCGGGCCAGGTTTGACACCTCTGGTGCTCTGGGCCTGCAGGGAGGGCAGTGAGGCCGGGCCTGGGCCTAGCCGGGGCGTGCTCAGGCCGTCCCTGGCCGGTGCTGCTCCTCTTCTGTGGCCCAGCTAAACACGAACACGTATTTTTCTTCCCTCACAATAAGCAGTGAGTGTGGCCGCTTTTCAGGGAAGGAAAACCTCGCACAAGAAACCACATCAGTGACTTGCTGTGGGCATGAGGAGCAGCTGCTGATGTCCACGGTGGTTGTTTGAAAAGGGGAATAACAGGTTCCCTCCCTTTTCTGCAGTACTGAATGGATTTCTGAGCAGCATGTCGGATTCAACATGCCATGGACAGGACACAAGGAAGATTTATTGTATCTCACTTAGGGAGAAAGCTAGAGAAAATGATAGCCCTTAGACTTGTTTTGCACCTTTGCTTATAAAGCATGTTGGTCTTCTGGACTCTCCTGAAGGGAAACTTCAAGGATAGAGAGGGGAAAGGTGTTGCTGTTGTGTGATTTTTTTTCCTTTTCCCACCCCGCCTCCTATATGTTTGTGATAAACCAGCGCGAGTTACCAGGCTCAGCTGAGTGGATTTGCACACTTCGTCCCACTGTGTCGGGTATTCCTGTACATTTCTCTTGCACAGGTAA